CCCCAAAACCCCAAAACCCCAAAACCCCAAAACCCCAAAACCCCAAAACCCCGTATAATAATTTTTTATTGAATCAAGCGTGGCTGCATCTTTAATATCTTCCAAGTCATGCGCTGAGCTTTCTAAACCCTATGTAAGATTACATATCTTGACGTTACCTCTCTTTTGGATCCTCTGAAGGGAACTAATAATCTAGGGAGTCTTCATGACTGATCAAGGCTTTTCTGGTACATAAAGTTTAATTAAGCCACCTTGTATTAGCGAGTATTTAAAAAATATTGATACAGACTTTAATGATGCCTCTTTCTGAACATAGTCTTGGAATTATTCTTTGAAAATTCCAATAATTTTAAAGTAAACTTTCAAATTTTTTGTCCTCTTACCAGAAAATAGATAATAATTATTCGGTGAAAATAATTTTTCTTATGATTTACTGTATTTTCAGGCAGAAAATTATTCAATATTAAATGCAAGTCCTTCACATGTGGGCATACTTAGGATAAGATTTGCCTTAGACTGGTAAGAATTCATTGGATAAGACTCCTCACAAGATCATGGGCAATTAGAAATGAGTTCAGGGTCCAGATAAATCGGTTCTTATTTTTCACTCAATTTTTCGAAAGTTCTATTCCAAACTATTTCATTTGAATTTTCCCAAGAAGAATCGTAAAATATGGTGAATATCCATATAAGCTTGAAGAACTTCAAAAGTTATTAAATATGGCTGTTGAGGCTAATAGTGGACCTCAGTTGCCCATTTTTCTTAGTCTTAAAGATTAAATTTGGGTTATAATAATCTCTTAGGCCGCTTGGATTTTCATCCAAAAGACAGTCATTATTATTAGAGAAAAATAGAACAAGTTGGAGATAATTATTAACCTGTGTTTAGCTCTTCAGGGTAGATATTTGCACTACCACTCCCTAAAATTGTGCTCTAATCCTATTCCAATTAATATGGTTATATAGCGGACAATTTTTCCTGTTTTTAATGCTCCTTTCAGTTCTGGTCTCATCCAATAAAATGATTGGGTCACCAAAATTTCATAACCCAGTAAATTCCATATTAGCATTTTAGTGCAAAAATTGTCGAAAATTTTAAATGGCAGAAGGGTCATAATTCTTTTATCACAAAAATAATATTTCTGAAACAGCTTCTTTGTTAATTCTTCCAGGGTTCTCTTCCCTCAAAGTCTCAGGTCAGAATTATGTCTAACTTATACCATAAGGAGGCTGAAATATACCAAAATCCTCTCTTAACAATGCCAGATGCTTTGGTATTGGATTACTTGTAAATACAGCCAATTTTTGGCTAATCCTCAATTTAGAAATTTCTTAAGAAATCCTGAAGTCTCAAACTAGTATTATTCACTTATAAAAATAAAGAACTTAGACTCAACTCATCTTTCTTCTCTTCGGCTTTTTAAGCTTTTGAGATAGATACTGATTTGACAAGTTTGTAGTTCTCGACTTATCTATAAGTGCAGGTTTAAGGATATATACAGGACTGCTGATGTGAATTAGCTGTAAAGTTTTACATCTGTGAGATAATTAAACTTAACAATAATATTAAGTATTGCTTTCGTTTATAATAATGCGATGCTAATTCTGGGTATTTAGTCTTAAATAGCTAGCCTTTTTAACTCTTGATGCCATGTCTTATCAAAAAATTAATAAATTTTCAGAAAATTACTCTATATACTCATTAATTCTCTAGATCACCAAAATAAGTATCGTAAACTCTAAAAATGATATGCTGCTTTAAATAAGCTTTCTTCTGTGTAGCCCTAGCTTTACTGGAGATTATTATTTCTGATATTTTCTAACAAAACTAGTTTAAATTTCTATCAGCTCCATCTTTTTATCTTCATTCAGGTTCAAGAAAGTGTTCAATAGCATCAAGGTTAGATAAAAATAGTCAAAATTAATTTAGTAATAATCTTGGATAACATTGAAAGGAGAAGACCTTAGCTCTGACAAAGCTAGCGGTGACCAAAAAGGGGTCTTGTCAAATTAAATTTTAATAATTTACGAATAGAGGCACTAGGCTAAGAAACAAATTAAAGTGACAATAGAGCCTCAACCTCAGAAAATATGAAGAAATAGCATTATTTTTTATGACCAGCTCGATTCGATTTTTGCTCCAATTCATAATCTTCCAGGTAAGATTTGCTCATCAAATTAGAATAAGTGCAAATAAAAGAATCAGACATAAAGATTTAATAATATTTTATTTATTTAAACATGGATTTCGCAAACCCTTTTGCTTTTGAAAATCAGAGCTCTCACCCAATGTGGGATTACGAAACTGTGCTCCAGCAGTTGGAACAGACCAAACAGTGCTGCCCGTTTGTTCATGGAGACAAACCACGCAGTAAAGATCCTCGTAGTAGCAGAGATTCGCAGGTTCCTCCAATACCAGAGCATCACCAAAGAAATTTGCATCAAGAGTAAGTATTGTAGAGGCAAATAAGATGTAATAGGGTTCATTCATAATTTATTTTTGACTTCAATTATTTAGGAGCGAAAGAAGAGTGCATGAAGACATTAACACCCCTATCCAACAACAAATGATGATAAAGATACGAAGAGATCAACCCATAATTAGTGAACAGAGGACTCGAGAATCTAGTAAACTTAGTGAAAATGACGAAGAGGCTTTTGAAGACACCGGAGGGATAATTAACAGAAGAAGACGCTCCAAAAAACTCAACATCAAGGCCAAACTTATCAAGCTTCGTGATCGTCTCCTCACCAATCGTGAAGCTTCTTTCAAACGCTCAATGAAAAAGAGAAGATGAACCAAAGGCACTACTTTGAAAAGACGCTCTCAGTACATTGGAGTGTCCAAAAATAATACTCATTGGCAGGCTCTCATCACCGTCAAACGAGTCAAGAGATATATTGGAATATTCTTCGATGAATTAGAAGCAGCCAGAACATACGATTTGTATGCGCTCGCAATGAAAGGGAAGAGCGCATCCCTTAACTTTGACTATACTTGCGATGAGATGCTAGAAGTGATAAATTTCTATCTAGCCCATGACAGAATAAACATGGAACCACATTTTGACGATTCAACTTAATATTGGATGATATGAGCAACTAATATCCAACTCCATTTCTGATTAATAGAATTGGAAATAAATCGATATTATTTTAAATTCCACCTATCTATGCTTTCACGGGGTTTTGGGGTTTTGGGGTTTTGGGGTTTTGGGGTTTTGGGGTTTTGGGG